TGGAAGGGACTTTCCAAAAAAACAGGGGCCTGGCCTTCATTTGCAGATATTTAGAAAAGAGGAGTCCTTACCTCACTGTAGAGTGAAGCGACGACAGTGGAAAGCAGACCCGTTCCTGTGATACTGCCGACTACAAGAAGTTGTTGTGTTCTTCTTGTAGCGCGAACTGGAGTGAGAGACAGAGAGAAAGTAGAATGGCCTTCAGTTGTCTTTTATTCAGAGAATGTGCTGTTACAGCCTTTTGAGCTGAGGCTATTGCAGGGAATAGATGTGGCCTTCTTAAACAATATTATAACAGATATTTGTGTACACAGCATTCTTACAGTCATCAGTTCCTTAATATGATTAACAGGTGTCTTTTTTACAGAGTACTGAGCCTATTGTAGTTCTTTTACACAGTTAGCATCTATCTCCACAAAGTGCTGAGATAATCAATTCCCTTTTCTATGATATAAAACTACTATTTTTGCCCTGTAAGGAGCCATCAAAGACTTTAACTCTGATCTTCTAACTCCCCTGTAACCTTTTCCTGTTTTGTAGGTTTCTACTGAATCACACACCCCCAATTGAGACCCTTAAATTAATGTTTATTTAAAGGTCTACTTTGCAGGTAGCATCAATTGACAGACTGGTGGAAAGAATTCAGAAGCAGGGGTGGCCCAGAAAGTGACAGTCTCAGTGGGTGGGAATGAGGTGGTGGGGGTCATCAAGGGCCAGTTTTCAAAGCTGAACACCTCGCAACAAGGCCTATCCACCAAAATACTCCCGCTCACCTCCAGCATGGTCTTGGTGGGACAATGGCGAAGTTAGGAAATAGAGGTTGTGGGAGAGTTGCAGGCATGATAGCATTGTGCTGCCCCTGATGCATTCCCTGAATTAGATCCACCCTCTTCCTCTTTCATCCAGGCCACAAAAAATGGACTGTTCACTGGCACTTCCTATCAGAATTATGGTGACGGATTCCTATTATTTTGAGCAGCATGCTTGTCATCAAGCGTAATAGAATTTTAATTAGTTATTTAAGTAGGACAAGACCTGGCCATCATAGGTGGGCCACGTCAGTGTGGGTGAGAAGGTGCTGGTCTAGCTACCCTGAGATATTTCACATGTAACACTCCTACTGAGAGCACACGGGCTATAAAACCCAGGCCTTGGTCTTGAATAAAGAGATAACAAGGTGTAGAGCTGGATGAACACAGCAGGCCAAGCAGCATCAGAGGAGCAGGAAGGCTGACGTTTCGGGCCTAGACCCTTCTTCAGAAATGGGGGAGGGGAAGGGGATTCTGAAATAAATAAGGAGAGGGGGAGGCGGATGGAAGATGGATAAAGGAGAAGATAGTTGGAGAGGAGACAGACAGGTCAAAGATGTGGGGATGGAGCCAGTAAAGGTGAGTGTAGGTGGGGAGTTAGGGAGGGGATAGGTCGGTCCAGGGAGGATGGACAGGTCAAGGAGGCGGGATGAGGTTAGTTGGTAGGAGATGGGGTTGGAGCTTGAGGTGGGAGGAGGGGATAGGTGGGAGGAAGGACAGGTTAGGGAGGCGGGGACGAGCTGGGCTGGTTTTGGGCTGCGGTAGGAAGTGGGGAGATTTTGAAGCTTGTGAAGTCCACATTGATACCATTGGGCTGCAGGGTTCCCAAGCCGAATATGAGTTGCTGTTCCTGCAACCTTCGGGTGGCATCGTTGTGGCACTGCAGGAGGCCCAGGATGGACATGTCGTCTAAGGAGTGGGAGGTGCAGTGTTTAGTGCGAACCGAGTATAGGTGTTCCGCAAAGCGGTCCCCAAGACACCACTTTGTTTCCCCGATGTAGAGGAGGCCACAATGGGAACAGCGGATGCAGTATACCACATTAGCAGATGTGCAGGTGAACATCTTGATGTGGAAAGTCTTCTTGGGGCCTGGGATGGGGGTGAGGGGGGAGGTGTAGGGGCAGGTGTAGCACTTCCTGCGGTTGCAGGGAAAAGTGCCGGGTGAGGTGGGGCTGGAGGGGAGTGCGGAGCGGACAAGGGATTCCTGGAGAGAGTGGTCCCTCCAAAAAGCAGATAAGGGTGGGGAGGGAAAATTGTCTTTGGTGGTTGTGTCGGATTGCAGATGGCGGAAGTGTCGGAGGATGATGCGTTGGATCCGGAGGTTGGTGGGGTGGTACGTGAGGATGAGGGGGATTCTGTTTTGGTTGTTATTGCGGGGAGGGGCTGTGAGGGATGAGTTGCAGGGAAATGCGGGAGACATGGTCAAGGGCGTTCTTGACTACTGAGGTGGGGGGAAGTTGCTGTCCTTGAAAAACGAGGACATCTGAGATGTTCGGGAGTGGAATGCCTCATCCTGGGAGCCGATGCAGCGGAGGTGAAAGAATTGGGAATAGGGTACGGCATTTTTGCAGGAAGATGGGTGGGAGGAGGTGTATTCTTGGTAGCTGTGGGAGTTGGTGGGCTTGAAATGGATATCGGTTTCCGGGTGGTTGCCAGAGATGGAAACAAAGGTCCAGGAAGGAGAGAGAGGTATCCGAGATGGTCCAGGTGAACTTAAGCTTGGGGTGGAAGGTCTTGATGAAGTGGATGAACTGTTCGAGCTCCTCGTGGGAGCACAAGGCAGTGCCAATACGGTCATCGATGTAACAGAGGAAGAGGTGGGGTTTAGGGCCAGTGTAGGTACGGAAGAGGGATTGTTCCATGTAACCTACGAAGATGCAGGCATAGCTTAGGCCCATGCGGGTACCCATTGCCATCCCCTTTGTCTGTAGGAAGTGGGAGGAATTGAAAGAGAAGTTGTTGAGGGTGAGGACGAGTTCGGCTAAGCGGATGAGGGTGTCAGTGGAGAGGGACTGGTCGGGCCTGCGGGACAGGAAGAAGCGGAGTGTCTTTAGGCCATCTGCATGGGGAATGCAGGTGTATAGGGACTGGATGTCCATGGTAAAGATGAGGTGTTGGGGACCGGGGAATTGGAAGGTCTGGAGAAGGTGGAGGCATGGGTGGTGTCACGGACGTAGGTAGGGAGTTCCTGGACCAAGGTGGAGAAAATGGAGTCAAGATAGGTGGAGACAATTTCAGTGGGGCAGGAGCAGGCGGGGACAATGGGTCGACCAAAGCAGTCAGGTTTGTAGATTTTGGGAAGGAGATAGAAACGGGCGGTGCGGGGTTTGGGAACGATGAGGTTGGAGGCTGTGGGTGGGAGGTCACCAGAGATAATGAGGTTGTGGATGGCTTGGGAGATGATGGTTTGGTGGTCGGGGGTGGGGTCATGATCAAGGGGGCGGTAGGAGGAGGTGTCGGAGAGTTGGCGCCTGGCTTCGGCGATGTAGAGGTCAGTGCACCATTCTACAACTGCGCCTCCCTTGTCCGCGGGTTTTATGTTGAGTTTGGGATTGGAGCGGAGGGAGCAGAGGGCTGCATGTTCTGTGGGGGAGAGTTTGCAGTGTGTGAGAGGGGTGGAGAAGTTGAGGCGATTGATGTCACAATGGCAGTTGGAGATGAAGAGGTCGAGGGAGGGTAGGAGGCCTTGGGGTAGTGTCCAGGAGGAGGGGGTGTGTTGGAGGCGGGAGAAGGGGTCGGTAGGGGGAGGGTTGGGCTCACGGTTGAAGAAGTAAGCGCAGAGGCGGCAGAAAAACTGTTCAACATCCAAGCGTGAGCGGTATTTGTTGATGTGTGGGTGGAGGGGGACAAAGGTGAGCCCATCACTGAGGACTCACTGTTCGTTCTCAGTAAGGGGGAGGTCTGGGGGGATGGTGCTCTTTGGACTCTGGGACCTGCTTGCCATTTTGGTCTTGTCCACTGCACCCTCAGGCACTGCTGGGATTGGAGAGCTTCTGTGCCATCTGATTGGCTTGCACTTCTCTGAGCTGGAACGTCCTCCTGATCGAATGCTACAACATCCATCTCCAGCCAATTAATGTCCTTGACTGTTAAATGGTTGCAGGGCAGGTAGTATCAGCAACTGTGTTCCCCGCTCGCTCTTCAGGTGAAAAACCCCGGCTAGTGTTTATTTTAAGTGATATTTACCGCATTCTGGAGGTCATTTTGTAAATGTTGCTTGTGGAAGAAAGTGATCACTGTCTAAAAATACTTTACTCTCTTTCTTTTGGCTTTTGTAAATGCAGAGCAACAAGCTGCAATCTTACATTCACATGGTTAAACAAGATAATTGCTCAGCATTAATGGAGAGCTGCCTCACTTCCATCTGGGAATCGGCCAGTTGGTAGTCTTCCATTGTCTTGTCTGGGTTACCACAGTTGCATATTGGAAAGTTTATAATTTTGTCATCTGCACGTCAAGTGTCCCCATCTGTCTTGGTTTGTGCAGTTTTAGATGTCTCATGACAGGAAGATCAAAGGGAGGAAATATAACAGAGCTGCCCTAGGCAGGACACGATTGTTTACATGACATCAAATCTTCCTGTATATTACTCAGTTAATGAACTCGTACCATCTTGGTATGGACAGGATGTTGATCATCATGAAGTTGATCATCAGTATATATTTAGTTCCACAAAGAAATATTAATAGTAGGATATTAAAATTCCCCTCCAAGCCAGTCAACACCATGACTTGGAAAAATATTGTTGGGTCAAAATCATGAAACTTCCTCCCAGTGGCATTGTAGGTCAATATATAGCACACAGACTGCAGTGGTTCAAGAAGGCAGCTCACCACCACCTGTACAAAGGGTGACTAATGATGGGCAATAAATGTTGGCCCAGCTAGCAATGCCACATGCCACATATGAAAAAAAAAGGATTAAAAAGCTGTTAAAGAATGATCTCAATCAAGTACAGTTGACTTACAAACTCAACTATCTCTCGTTTCCCGAATTGGAAAAGGACTTCAACCCATGTGAATGTTAAACTGAGCCTCCAAGCTTAGAAAATTTATTTTGTTGGATCAAGAACTGTGCACTTTTACAGAAATTACTAAACTCAAGAATTCAGCATTGCAGCACAACATGCTGGTAGATTAAAGGTATTTATCAGTTTCTAAATCAAAATAATTTTCTTCTGTTGCCAAATAGAAAAATTACTGGAAATCGTACGCATTTTTGGAATTATTGGATGGACTATTAAAGGTAGGATTATTACATTTTATAATAAAAAAACTTTACCAGTTTTTACTTTGATTTTTGAAAAAGTTAAGAGATTAATTTGGTTAGTTCCAATCAATTCAGATACAAAAGTGAATATTTAAAAAATGTTTTGAAAGATTATTTTCTCTTTCATAGCATGTGAGCATCACTGACAAGGCCACCATTTATTCCTCATCCCTAATGGCCCATGAATTGAGTAGCTCGCTAAGAGTCAATCACCTTGCCAAGAGTCTTGAGTCACCTAAAGGCTAGATGAGGTCAGTGTGGCAGATTTCTGTCCCTATAGGATATTAGTGAACCAGATGATTTTCATGATAGAAACTGAAAGAACTGCAGATGGTGTAAATCAGGAACAAAAACAAAGTTGCTGGAAAAGCAGACCTGATTCAGACCTGCTGAGCTTTTCCAACAACTTTGTTTTTGATTTTCATGATATTTGATGATAGATTCATGGTCACCTTTTACTGTGAAAGAATTTAAAACTCCATTTAAAAAATCTACCAGCGGTCATCATGGGACATGACCCATGTTGTTAGAGCCTTTAAACCTTTGGTTTACTCGTCCACTCCTAAGCAATAGCAAGTCTTTCATTAGCACAGAAAGTGTACTCAAACAACTTAAATGATTTTACATCAGGTCAAGTTACAGAAAAGCTGATAACCTGATTAGGGCCCAAAAAAAGGAAAACGTGTTTTTTTTTAAATCTCTGAAAAGTAGCTGCAAAAACCTATTTACCCGGTAGAGGAACTAATTTTTCATTTTTTTTTTTTTTTTTTTATTCATGCAAATCAAACTTTCTGTTCTCGGAACTCTCAGCTGTCCAGGGTTTTCTTGCAGAGTTTTTGCAGAAAGCCAGCATGGACATATCAGAAGGAATGGCCTCCTTCTGTGCTGGAACCATTCTATGATTTATTCAGGTTTGGAAGTGGTGGGCTATATTTAACTTGGCAATCCATGTTGCAGTTTTTTTTAAATTCTTAATGGAACTTTGGAACTAACATTTGTGGCCAAGCGGGAACAGAATGTTTGTTAAAATGAACAATATTGTAACACTGCAGTTTGTCCTATCTTGGCTGTCACATTTTTCAGAAATGGAAATGATGGGAGGTTTGGGATAATCAACTTTCCATCTGCTTCTGTAAAAATCAGGAATGTTAAATACTGGTCCAGCTGCTACTAGATCTCTAACATCCCCCTATCAGAACAGGCCAATAGCCATAAAAAGCCTATACAATGCACATTAGTAATTGCACATTCACGGAGTACAATGAAATGCCAATTGCTAATTTGTTTTGTCTATTATACAAGCAGCTAATCTTGTTATGTATGTTTACTTGCATTGTCATTTTTAATCAAAAAGAGAAAACAACAACAAATCATAATAAATGTTAAGTGTTTCAGAGATAGTAGGAACTGCAGATGCTGGAGAATCTGAGATGACCAGATGTAGAGCTGGATGAACACAGCAGGCCAAGCAGCATCAGAGGAACAGGAAGGCTGACGTTTCAGGCCTACACCTTTCTTCAGAAATGGGGGAGGGGAAGGGGATTCTGAAACAAATAGGGAGAGAGGGGGAGGCGGATTTAAGATGGATAGATTACGAGAGAGTTGCAATGGGAGAGAGATCCACTGAGGTCTTTCCGGAGGGAGGAGGGTAACTTCTTCAAGATAGGCTTCGCAGTGGGGTTAAAATTGTTTCAGAGATGGTAGGAACTGCAGATGCTGGAGAATCTGAGGGACCACTTTGCGTAACACCTACGCTCGGTTCGCAACAAACAACTGCATCTCCCAGTCGTGAACTATTTCAATTCCCCCTACCACTCCTTAGGCGACGTGTCCAGCCTGGGCCTCCTGCAGTGCCACAACGATGCCACCTGAAGGTTGCAGGAACAGCGCCTCATATTTTGCTTGGGAACCCTGCAGCCCAATAGTATTAATGTGGACTTCACAAGCTTCAAAATCTCCCCTCCCCCCTACCGCATCCCAAAACCAGCCCAGCTTGTTCCCGTCTCCTTAACCTGTCCTTCCTCCCACCTATCCCCTCCTCCCACCTCAAGCCCCACACCCATCTCCTACCTACTAGCCTCATCCCGCCCCTTTGACCTGTCCGTCCTCCCTGGACTGACCTATCCCCTCCCTAACTCTACACCTATGCTCACCCTTACTGGCTCCACCCCCACCTCTTTGGCCTGTCTGTCTCCTCTCCACCTTTCTTCTCCTTTATCCATCTTCTATCTGCCGCCCCCTCTCTCCCTATTTATTTCAGAATCCCATTACCCTCCTCCCCCATTTTTGAAGAAGGGTCTAGGCCCGAAACGTCAGCTTTCCTGCTCCTATGATGCTGCTTGGCCTGCTGTGTTCATCCAGCCCCGCACCTTGTTGTCTCACAGCCTTGCCTATTTGGTTTTATTAGTAAAGTTGGAAATGTTACATTTAGTTCCATCAATCAAGTCTTTTATATATATTATAAATATATCTTGGGGCCCAAATACTAATCCTTATTGTAGTCCACTAGTCACTGTCTGCCGCTTGAAAGAAAAGACCCATTTATTACCACCCTATTTCCCATCTGTCAGTCAATTCTTGATCCACGCCAATATTTTACTCCCCTAACCATGTGCTTTAACTTTGTCCATTAATCTTTTTTGTAAGGGATTATCAAAATTATCAAAATTGTTCGGAAAATCTAAATACATGACATTCATGGGTTCTCTCTAATCTATTCTACCTGTTACATCTTCAAATATCTCCAGTAGATTTGTTTAGGATGATGTGCTTTTCAGAAACCCATCCTGACATTGTGTAATCCTGTTATTGCTTTCCGATATTCTGTTACCTCGTCTTTTATAATAGACTCGAGCATTTTCCCCACTGCTGATGTTAGGCTAACTGGTCTGTTATTCTCTTTTCTCTCCCATTCTTTTTAAATAGTGGGGTAATGCTGGCCACCCTCAAATCTGTAGAAGCTGTTCTTGAGTCTGCAGAAATTTAAAAGATGACCATCAAAGCATGTGCTCAATTCTTCTGCTATTTCTGTGTACCCCATTTTAATTTTCATGGCCTCTGACTGTAAGAGACCAACATATGTCTTTACTAATCTTATCCTCATCACATAGAAGGCAAATGCACTTCTTTTTTTAACAGCTGTGATTAGAGATTTATTATTCCACTCTGCGCAGAAGTTGTACATATTTGGATGGCTCAGGTTCACCACTCATCATTATTGCTTCACCTTGCAGTTAGTGATGTTACTCTGCTACTGGCCACACTGCAAATAGGCCTCTCGAACTACAGCTCTAGAACATTCGGTATGTTGCTGGCTGCTCCTGTAGCATACGAGGTCACTTCTGTGGTCGCAATTTGTTTCTGGGGCCAATGGTCTGCTTGCACTGCTCAGGAGTGGCACGGTGGCTTAGAATTTAGCACTGCTGCCTCACAGCGCCAGGGAACTAGGTTCAATTCCACCCTCAGGCAACTGTGTGGAATATGCACATTCTCTTCTTGTCTGCGTGGGTTTCCTCCCACAGTCCAAAGATGTTAAGGTTAGGTGGATTGGCCATGCTAAATTGCCAGCACTGTGTAGGCTAGGTGAACTAGCCATGGTAAGTTCAGAGTTACAGGGATAGGGAAGGGAGGGTGGTCTGGGTGGGATGCTCTTAGGAGGGTTGGTATGGATTCGATGGGCCAAATGGCCTCCGTCTACACTGTAAGGATCCTATTAATCTATATTTAACATAGCTGTGATAGCATCTACTGTCAGGGACATGGGCTGGGGTGAGTTTGTCTGAGATTGTGATTGACTGATTGATTGTGATGTACATGTTAGACACCACAGTGCTGCAGTTTACAATCTCTTTCTGTGTGATAATTGTATTGTGGCAGACTCATCTGTGATGTCAATGCCATGACGGGATTTGTATAAAAGGAATAGATACATTGACAAATGGGAAACCAATGCAGGTCAGCATGCATCGGGGTGATGCAGATATTGGAGATCCAAGAAATTTTTAGATGTTTCATCCAGGCAAGAAAGCAGGTGTGAGAATTAATTTTTGTTTTGTCTGTGAATTGCTCAGCTCTCAAGTCCCACTACACCTTAATTTTCCTGGGAATTGCATGAAACCCAGAAATCCATTTACACACAGCTAAATTGTAAAATCGTTGCATACAATAATTATAAGAAATAGAAGGATTGAGAGGATATTTGGCCCATCAAATCTGCTCCACTATTAAATAATATCTTGGCCAATGTGATTGCAAATTTAACTCCACATTCCCACCTACCCTCAATTCCTTGTTGTTCAAAATTTGAGCCTTGAATATACTCCATGACTTCACTGCTGCCTGGGGAGGACAGTCCAAAGACTAACATTCATCTGAGAGAAGAGAGTCATCCTCATCTCCAAATTGAATGCAAGACCCTTTCTTTTTAAATATTGCCCTCCGTTCCACATTTTAACCACGACGTTATCAGCATCTATCTGGTAAACCCTTCTGAAAATCTTAGATAATTCAATAAGGTCATATTTATTCTTCTAAAATCAATTGCCAACCCACCTGTCCTTTGGGGGCTTTTGTGCATGACGTTAAAGGTGGAATGCAGTAAGCTGCTGCTGACTTGCAAGGATGCATTCAATTTCAGGTTTGTTTTTAAACTGGCCGCTCAGTTTGAAACTCCTTTCTTTTTTAGGTTAAGATTTAACTGCCCCTCTCTATCTAAAAGTCAGCTTGACATTGAATTAGGAATTTCTGTCTCATACAACTCCATTTCACCTGATCTTTAACAATGAAATTATCATCAGTTTATAATTAGATCACATTGGGATGAAGCATTCTCAGATTCTGCAATTAATTGATTATTCCAAGAAAAACTTTAATATTGGTTTATTGTGCGTCAAATAATAATCAAAGTCTTCTAATGTCAAAATTCTGCATCTTTCTGTTCATGTCTTTTTGTCTTTAATTTTACCTTAATTGGCGATAACAAAAATCAAATATACCTATTTTAGAACTCATTTTAAAACATCAGTGTGCTGCTTCTTCAAATCGCAAAATACATATTTCATTGTCTATGCATTTGGATAAACCAACAAGAAATATTTGAAATGTTTACTTAAAGTATCCTTAATTTGAAATGAAGCCAGTTCATATTAACAATAAATCTATGAAAGTTTTACATTTCCTTTACTAAACCTACTATAGTACCCATTCCATTAGCTACCAAAACTTAACTGAAACATTTCAGTCTGGTTTGAATACCATGCAACTTTCAACAGAAAACTTTTTATGGAAACATCTGGGAGATTGTCTCACTTTTATTGCCACTTTAGAAAATTGTTTGGCACAGATCCATTTTTTAAAAAAAAAGTCTAGGCGCCCTCTAAAATGGTAGAGCAGACAGAATTATTACTTATTGGTTTGGCCCTAATTGGCTAATGCAATCAATTTCTTATATAGTAGGTTTGACATTAAGAATCAATGTGGTCTGTTTAAAAAATTCCAATGAAGATACTTTACAGCAGATGTCCTTTTATTATCTTCTTGGGAGTAAACAGGTTTCATTGACTGATGAAAACTGAGGGAAAAATGTTCATTGTTAACAATGGTATGCTACAGGCTGAATATCCTTCATTGCCAATTGTTGTAAGCACAAAACGCAATGCAAATATGAATGATCTATCTTTGTCAATTAATTTGACAATGGTTTCTCCATTATTTTGACGTGATACACTCTTCAAATGAGAATTATGTTGGAGTTAGCACATATAAAACATATTTATTTATAAATATGTTATTATGGCTTTGTAGTAATAAGCTGATGAAAAGACCTTTGAAGTGTATCTGCACTCCTTAAACTCTACTAGTTGACGAATAATGAGGTGTTAATGCTGACCAATTCAACTGAATTCTTTAATGATTTGCCAAGGTCATAATGAAGTGATTAACTTATTTTCAAGAAAAGTTTCACAATTGGTAAGTAGCTTAAAAATCAAATCATTAAGTAGAAATAAAATTAAATGGAATATTGTGTTATTTGTTCTTTACTATTCTCTATTGATGATTGCACATCAGTGTTAGTGATATCATTAGACAAACTGGCTGAGGTAAGTTATTGTGTGCAATGATGTTTGGATGCTAAATTAATAGTAATATATTCTGCCATAAACCCTGAACTGTTTCAAGGATGTTGTCATTTGTATATATTTTAATCTAGGTTCTCTCACACAGTTGGAGCCAGGAACTTTACTCAACCATGTGACGAAACCAAAAGACTGAAAAATCACATCTAGTTTTGGAGCACCTTAAAAGGGAAAAACAAAATTTGTGTAATTTCCAAGGTGGGCTCACTGGGTTTCAGGAGTAGCAGATCTCAATACGAAATGTTAACATTTTTAAAAACCAACAATCATGAAAGGATAAGGTTCCTTTTTAATTATGATTGTTTCTTGTGACTAACTTTGAAAAGAAATTCTGATTGCAAATTGAACCTTGGTAATACATTGATTGGTAAGATGTAAAATAGTGATTCATTGGAGTTCTGTGATTTGTGAGCACCATGCAGAATTGTCAAATTTTCCTCCATTTCACTTTTTTAATTTGATGTTACTACTTTCTATTGCTTTATCTCTTCAGCGGCTCATGACTGGCTACCAGACCCATGGCAGAGCACTTAACAAGAGGAATGTGAAGATGAACATTTATTTAAAAAATTCTTCCTTTTTCCTGCCTTTAAAATTCTATTTTTTTGGTTTATTTTTCTGTTTTAAGGTGGTGCCCGAAAGTGGAAACACTATCCAACACTTCACTGTAGTTTGTAACAAGATACACGTGACAATAAATAAATAAATAAAATCAACTTCTGATGGGGCTAGGCAATACCCAAATCTATCGGCTTGCTAAAAATTTTGGTCTCCGATCATTCCCAAATGCCAACTGCAATACTGAATCTCTACAATGCATTTTCTCTTAAGGTTGAATAATTAAGTGTTGTTCTCTTAATTTAAAAGGACAAAGTTCAGTAGAAGTTCATTGCCTGGTGCGACCAAAATAACTTGTTTGAAGAGCAATTCATTCTTTGCGCATATTTCATCTTCCTTCTGATATTTATTTCTCATGTGCAAAAGTAAAAATTCAGGACATGGCAGTGAAGTAGAAAAATTTTATTTCTCTACATGTTTGGTTCAACTTTTGTTTAAAACCATTTTTTCCAAAATACATTGAGGGGAGACAACTGGGCAAATCAGTTAAAATAGATTAAAATGAACAGATTTTTATGACTAGGTGAAGAGGGGGATTTGGCACCCATCTTTCTAAGCCTCTCTTGGTCGGTCATAACAAATACTTTTAATTCTTTCAGCACCTAGCTATAGCATATCAATTAAAAATATATGGTGACTCTGGTTAGCACTGCAACCTCACAGCACCAGGGATCTGGGTTTGATTTCACTCTCAGATGACTGTTTGTGTGGAGTTTGCATGTTCTCCCAGTGTCTGCGTGGGTTTTACTGGGTGCTCCGTTTCTGCTAGTTTCCTCCCACAGTCCAAAGATGTGTAGGTTATGGGGATTGCCAATGCCCTTTTATTGTCCAGAGTTGTGTGGGTTAGTCAAGTAAAAAAAGCCCCATATGGGGTTATGGGGATGGGTTGAGGGGGGTGGGATATGTGTGTTGCTCTTTGGAGGTTTGATGCAGACTCAATGGACTGAATGGTCTCTTTCTGCACTGTAGTAATTCTATGATTAACTAGATCAAGATGAAGCTTGAGTGAAAGAAAGAATTATTTTCTTACATGCTGAACTCAAAAGAAAAGCAGCATTAAAGATGCACACAAAGACAGGTAACAAGTTTGAAAGAGAGACTGTTTAGTACAGTGAAGGAGAATAACTGCTGTGCAGTTTAAAAGCACTTGGAGTGCAAGATGATGAGAAAAGGGCAGGGAGAGAGAAAGAGACAGAGAATTCAAGGTCTTTCATACATTATCTTCCTCTCTCTGTTTTGCTGTTGGAAGCAGCTGCTGCATGTAAGTATTTGAATTAGGAGCTGAGGTAGGCCCCTCATCCCTCAGCTTACTACTCCTATCCAATAAGAGCATAGCTGAACTAACTACTCTACAACCCCACCTACCTCTGATAACCTTTCAACCTCCTTCTTATGCAGAATTTATCTATATCTGGTTTAAAAATATTCAATGGTTGCCTTCAAACACCTTTTGAGGAAGACAGTTTCAAAGACTTAAGACTCTCTGCGGAAAAAATGTTTAAAAAAAGACATGTTCATCTCCCTTGAATCAGAGATAGTAGGAACTGTAGATGCTGGAGAATCCGAGACAACAAGGTGCAGGGCTGGATGAACACAGCAGGCCAAGCAGCATC